AAAAATAGAAGACTCACACATTATGATTTCAAAACTTAATACAAAGCTACAGTAATCAAAACAGGATGGTACCAGTATAAAAAGAAACATATAGACCAATGGAATGGAAAACAGAATCTAGAAACAAACCCTCACATATAGTGTAAAATGATTTTTGACAAGGTTGTCAAGACCATTCAATGGAAAAACGACAGTCTTTTGATCAAATGGCACTAGAAAAACTTGATAGTCACATGCAAAAGAATGAAGTTGGACCCTTACCTAACACCATACACAAAAATCAAATCAAAATGGATATCATACCCAAATGTAAAACCTAAAACAATAAAATTCTTAGGAGAAAATATAGGACAAAAGCTAAACAACATTGCATTTGGCAATGATCTCTTGGATATGATATCAAAGGCATGAGTAACAAAAGAAACTGACAATTTTTTCATGGGAATTAAAATATTTTCACAACAGATGATTACTATCCACAGACTAAAAAAGGAAAGCCACAGATAAGGAGAAAATATTTGTAAAGTCATATAGCTGATAAGGGATTAATATCCAAAAAATAAAAAAATAAAAATAAATTAAAAAAAGGGATTAATATCCAGAATATGTAAACTTTAAAATTCAGTAACAAAAATACCCAAACAACTGAATTCAAAAATGGGCAATGGATTTGAACAGATATTTCTGCAAAGAAGATATACAAATGGTCAATAAACACAAGAAAAGATGCTTAACATCATGAATCATTAGAGAAATACAAATCAAAACTACAATAAGATACCACCTCCCAGCCATCAGGATTGCTATCAAAAACACAAAAAATAGGGATCCCTGGGTGGCGCAGCAGTTTGGCGCCTGCCTTTGGCCCAGGGCGCGATCTTGGAGACCCGGGATCGAGTCCCACATCGGGCTCCCGGTGCATGGAGCCTGCTTCTCCCTCTGCCTATGTCTCTGCCTCTCTCTCTCTCTGTGACTATCATAAATAAATAAAAATTAAAAAAAAAAAACAAAAAACAAAAAACACAAAAAATAACTCTTGGTGTGAATGTAGAGAAAAATGGAACTCCCGTGTACTGTTGGTGGGAATGTAAAATGGTAAAACCACTATGAAAAACAGAATGGAGATTCCTCAAAACATTCAAAATAGAATTACCATATGACCCAGCAATTCTACTTCAAGGTATATATCCAAAAGAAGGTCTCAAAAAGATGTCTGTACACTCATTTTCACAGCAGTATTGTTACTCGCAATAGCTAAAACATGGAACAAGTCAAGTGTCCATGGACAAATGAATCAATAAGCAAAATGCATGTACACAAACAATGGGATATTACTCAGCCTTAAAAGCAGAAAAAAGTCTGCAATGTGCTACAACACAGATGAATCTTGAGGACATTATGCTAAGTGAAATGAGCCAGTCACACAAGGACAAATGCTACAGATTCCACTTATGTGAGGTACTTAGGGTAATCAAAATTACAGAAATAGGAAGTATAATAGTTTCCGGTGGCTGAAGATAGGTGGGATTGGGGAGTTACTGTTTAACAAGTAGAGAATTTCAGTTTTACAAGATAAGGGTATGGGGATGGATGGTAGAAATAGATGCATAACAGTGTAAATGTATTTAAAACCACTGAAGTGGGGGCACCCGAGTGGCTCAAGCAGTTGAGCATCTGCCTTCGGTTCAGGTCATGATCCTGCGGTCCTGGGATCGAGTTCCACATCGGGCTCCCCGCAGGGAGCCTGCTTCTCCCTCTGCCTGTGTCTCTGCCTTTCTCTCTGTGTTTCTTTCTCATGAATAAATAAATAAAATCTTTAAAAAAAAATTTAAAAAATAAAACCACTGAACTGTATACTCAAAAAAAGTTTAAGATGGTAAATTTTATGTTATTTGTATTTTACCACCATAAAAAAAGAAAAAAAAAGTAAAAATGTACTGATATATACTACAATATGGATGAACCTTGAAAACATGAAAGAAGCCAGACACAAATGCCCATATACTGAATGACTCAATTTGGCTTTTTTTTTTTTTTTAAGATTTTATTTGTTTATTTGAGAGAGAGAGAATTAGTGTGTGCACAAGCAGGGAGGGAGAGGCAGAGGGAGAGGGAGAAGGGAGCAGGGAGCCGGACACAGGGCTGATCCCAACCTGAGCCAAAGGCAGACGCTTAACCAACTGAGCCGCCAAATGCCCCTGAATGACTCAATTTATATGAAATACTCAGAACAGACCAATCCACAGAGATAGAACACAACTGCTGGTTGCCAGGAGTTGGGTGAATGGGAGAATGGAGGGAAACTCCTTCATGAGTGAATCAAGGGCTTTATTCAGAATGATGAAATATTTTTAAACTTGATTAAGGTAGTGGCTGCATATAACACTGTGAATAACATATAACACTAAATGTCACTGAAATGATCACTTTAAAATAGTTAACTTTGTATGTGAATTTCACCTCAATTAACTAGGTTTTTAAAAAATACATAAGAAGAAAGTGTGCAGAATAAAATTACAATTAAAGATGAAGGAGTTAAAGCCACATATCAGTTACCACAACAAAACGACAATAGATTAAATTCTCAATATAAAGGACAGGGCATTTCGTATTAGGCTAAAAATGTCTAGTTATGTGTTCCTTATCAAAAAATATACTCACAAAGAGTATGTCAAAGCTGCAATACCCCCATGATGCAAAAGCCTTCAGGACATCAAAAAAGGAATGACTGGTGAGTGAGAATGGATAACATCCCCTCTTACAGGTCAAGTGGTTTTCAGTTACTTGCTTTCAACTAAGTTGAAAGAGAAATTAATTAGAGCTGTATTAAGAAAACAGTTCCATTTAGAACAGCATCTAGGAGAATACTTAAGAATAAATTTGAGCAAAGATATGTAAAATTTGCATTCTGAAAACTAGAAAACATTGCTGAAAGAAATTAAAGACCTAAGTAAAACCTCTCAAGTTCAGACTGTAAAACCTAATATTGTTAAAACAATTCCCCAAAGTGATGCACGGATTCAATGCCATCCGTACTAAAATCCCAACAGGCTTTCTTTGCAGAAACAGAAAGGTTAATCTAAAATTCATGGACTTGCAAGGGATCTTGATGTAGAACAGTTTTGTAGTTTCACAATAAGTTAAACATAGAATGACTCATCAATTTTACTCCCAGGAAAGAACTGAAATAGGTCTTCAAAAAAAACTTGTACATGAATACTCATAGCAGCACTGTTCTCAATAGCCAAACATGGAATCACTCCAAATGCCCATCAACAGATGGATACACAGAAGGTGGTATATACATACACCAGAATATCATTCAGTCATAAAAAAAGATAAAGGAGTGGTACATGCTACGACTTAAGGTAAATGAAAGAAGTTACACATAAAAGATTACATACTGTATGATTCCATCTAAATGAGAAATCCAAAATAGACACATCTCTAAACAGAAAGCACATTAGTGGTTGATAGGGGCTAGAGAGACTGGGGAGTAATTTGCTCATTAAGTCATGGAACTGCTCATTAAAGGTCGGGGGGGGGTTCCTTTTGGTGGGATTAAACTATTCTGGAAGGAGAGGGTGGTTTGGTTGTACATGTGAATGTATTAGGTGCAAGTGAATTCTAGACTTTAAAAAGGTTCAAATGTGGGACACCTGGGTAGCTCAGAGGGTTGAGCGGCTGATTCGGATTTTGGCTCAGGTCATGATCTCAGTCAGGGGCCTGAGAATAAGCCTCATGCAGGAAGGAAGTCCCTGAGTGGGGAGCCTGCTTCTCTCCCTCTGCCCCTCCCCCTGCTTGTGTGCACACATGCTCTCTCTCTCAAATTACATCTTTTTTTTTAAAAAAAAGGTTTAAATGTGAATTTCATGTTATGTGTATTTCACAATTCAAAAAAAGTGGCATCCCTCACTGTACTCTGCAAAAATTTACATGTCATCCTTGCACAGGGGCCATGCTAATCTTTTCTGTTATCATTCCAATTTTAGTATATATGTGGCCAAAGCAAGCGCTCTGCAGGAATGCAGATTCTGCCCAGCCCCCAGGGCTGTCACAAGGCCTATCTCACCATACTGACCACCCTAGGTCATTCTAGTCTGCACTAATTTGCTCCGTCTTTGAACAACCATGAGTCCTAATGCTGGCATAATTCATGTGCAACTCAACTTTTCCTCTGAACTGGACAAGAATTATTTCACTATATGCCTACCACTTCTCATGTAATTGCAGGACTCAAACTGAAAGGTACACAATGCCACCAAATGAAGCTTATCAAAAAACTTTTTTATGTCCCAGTTTCAAAACTCAGATCAAAGGTGTTCATTTATCTACAGTGCATATTTGCCTTACTGTACCAGAGGTCAGCAAACAGCAAATATTTTTGATAGATGGTCACAGAGTAAACAGTCTAGGCTTGCCTGAGCTATACAGTCTGCCTCAACCACCCAACTCTACCCCTATAATATGAAGCAGCCACAGCCACATATGTCTATAAAACTTTATAAACACATCTGAATTTCATATAATTTCCCATCACAAAATTCTACTCTTGATTGGTTTCTCAACCATTTGAAAGTTTTTAGTTGGGCAGCCCGGGTGGCTCAGCGCTTTAGCGCCTCCTTCAGCCCAGGGCCTGATCCTGGAGACCTGGGATCGAGTCCCATGTCGGGTTCCCTGCATGGAGCCTGCTTCTCCCTCTGCCTGTGTTTCTGCCTCTCCGCCGCTCCCCCCCCGTGTCTCTCATGAATAAATAAAATCTTTAAAATAAACAAACAAACAAACAAACAAACAAATAAATAAATAAAAGTTCTTAGTTTGTGGGCCTTTGAAAAATAGGCAACAGGCTGTATTTGGCCCATGTACTGTAATGTGTTGACATGTGTTCTGTATTTTCTCTAATGTTAACATATTTATTTCCACTATTTTATATAAAGGCATAGATATTTTATGAACTTCACATTATCATTGTCAGGCAAAACTGTGAATGAACAACTCACCTGGGATGTGATCATCTTCTGCTGGCCCTGGAAGAGTATGGATAACCGTGAGGGTAGAGCTGAGAAGATAATAACCATCATGAGATGCCTGAGAAACTCCACAGAGCTGCTGGCAAAACACCTCTGAAGGGGAGGTGTTTTGAGAAGGGGCAGAAAGGAGGACAGGAAGGAGGGAGCAGCAGATGCACAATTCCATAGTGCTTGGACAGGCTAGTTCTTAAATGTAAAAACATTTGTTTCAGGGCAGCTGGGTGGCTCACTCGGTGGGCAAAGCAACTCTTGATCTTGGGGTCGTAGGTTCAAGCTGCATGTTGGGTGTAGAGATTACTTAAAAATAAAATCCTTAACAAATGTCTTTGTTTTCGACTGATTTAGTAACAATGTATGTTCTAACACAGAAAAATATAAATGACACAGGACACTCATAATTAAGCAAACTAGGAAACGCCAAGAAATGGAACATAATGCTTTCATTAAAAACTGTTGCTGAGCAAAAATATTCAAGTTGTAATGCATTATAAACCAGAGAATCCCACTAGGTTCTGAAAACAGGGATGGGGTTTTTAAGGTCTGGTCTTTTTCCAAAGGGGAAAAAAAAAAAGTTTGCTTTAACTCAGTTTCAGGTTCTCAAACATATCTTTTGACTAAAAATAACAACAAACCGGTTTTGGCTTATCTGTTGTCAAAGCAGAAAACACCTGCCTGGACTGTCAAGACACTCCCTGTCTGCTCGTTTCTGCCACAACAAGACGTGACCAAGAGCAGGTAAGGTAAGTGAAAGAAGACCCATTTCCTTGTCTCCCTACCCCACCCCTCTGCTTAGCCAGAGCGCAAACGGCTAAGACCTAAGGACCTCTCCGGCAGTACAGGACCATCCCGGACTCTGTCGGATCGGGACAGCGGGGGCATCAGCAGGGGCAGTCCCTCGGAATCTGGGACTGGAGGGCAGGGGGAGGGAGGGAGGAGGTAGTTCCCCCTTGTGTGGCTGTAAGCCCTTCCTTCCACGCGATGCCTCGCGGCTTCCCAACAAGCCGTACTTTCTGTTCCTCTTGGCCCGCCCGCCTGTCCCGGCCACAGCCGACATCCCTCCTGGAAGCTGGGCCGCAGCGTCCCCCATCACCAGCCTGTAAGACTCTGGCGGCCTCCCTGGTTCTGGCGGGAGGGCTCAAACGGCTTCTGGCTGACCCGGTCTTTGCTCCTCCCACCTTCACTCCGGATCTCTACCGAGGTCAGGGGCCAGGAGGGGAGGGGGTCCCTGCTCCCGGGGTCCCCCTTCCCCCCTCACAGGAGCTGCCTTGTTCTAGGAAACCTGGGCACAGCCAGTCAGCATCCCCACGCCAGGCCTAAGGCTCCCGGGCCTTCCCGCCCCCTGACTCACCAGCCGGACCTCGTGTCCACGCAGAGGGCTGCTACTGGGGGCAAAGCAAGCCGCAGGACGTTCGTGGGCCCTGGATGCCTCCCCCGAGGTGCCGGCTTCGCAGGTCCTCCGGGAACAAGGTCAGGGCGGCTGCGGGGGGGACGGCGCGCGAGGAAGGGCCTCTACCCCCGCGCGGGCCCGCCACGCAGCTACCATGGGAACGCGGCCGGGGCCCAGGCGGCAGGGGCGCCAAGAGGGACGCGAATGTAGAGGAACCGGGAGACGGGGTCGGGCCGCGCGCCCCGAGGCGGGCTCCGCCGGACTCACCGAGGCCTCGGCCGACCTCCACGGCAGGGGTGAGGACACCAAGCCCGCTCGGAACCAGCAACGAGCGCTCGGACGGGCTGGTTCACATTCCGGGCCGAGGCGCAGCAGGGCGCCCCCGAGCTCAGGTACCAAAGCCTCCGCGGCCTCTGGCGCCGCGGAGTTTCCCCCGACCGGTCACCACGCCGACCCCGAGCCTCCCCCGCCGCGTCCTCGCGCCGGCGCCGCGGCGCGCAGCAGCGGGAGCACCCGGGGCCGTCTTCTCGCGAGACCACGGCCGCCGACGGGAACCAGCCGGGCGCGGCGCGCAGGCGTGGAAGGCGGGAGCCGCTCGCGATCCGCTCCGAGAGCGCGCCGAGTCCCCGACGTGCTGGCGCCGCCCCGCGGGGAAGGAGTGCGCAGACGAGGGGACGGGGAGATGCAGCGGACGAGGGGTGAGCCGCTGACGTACTGCTGCCACCGCCGTCTTCGCCGCTCGTCCGAAATCAGTGGTGAGCGCCTGAGCACGCTCCTACGCCGCGACGAAGCGGCCCCCGGAGCGCGCCGCCCAGCCCCTTCCCCTCACGCCGCGTTCCCCTCACGCCGCGTTCCCTCACGCCGGACGCTCCTCGGGAGCGCTCGGAGCTCTCCGGGCGTCCCTTGTCCGTCCGGCTCTCCGCTGACGACACAGCGAGGAATTCTGGCCGTTCACTAAGTCCTCGGCTCGGCAGCGTGAGGGGCCACACTGGGGCTGGCTCTTCAAAACGGGGCGAGCTGACACACATGCGGCCGTTCCCCGTGGGGGGCCTGCCTTTCCCAGGCTTCAAGGTGTTCTGTTGGAGCCTCTGCTTGATGACTTTGCGAAATACTGTCCATTGACAAAAAGAGAACTGTCTGTTCCTTTTTTTTCTTCCAGTTTTTCCCTTCCTCTTTGACTTTACACATGATAGTTCGCTTGTTCCCATGCTGGAGAAGCATTTGCTGACATTTAAGTCAAAAAATCAAGATTTTCAGATTTCAAGATGAAATTCATTTCAAAGGACAGTCATGGCAAGTACGATGATTATCCACAGGTCAACTTATTTTCCTGTTTATAAGTAATGTTTTCCCTTTTAAGAACAAGCTTGACATTTATGAAGATTTCGTCAATTCTTCCTTTGGTGTTTTCAAGTTCCATTTAACATTGATTGGAATATTTAATAATACTTCTTGTTTTTCTTTCCATTTCCGTAATCCTGTGCTAAAAAGATACTACTGGAAACTGAACAAGAAGTAAGCAAATTAGTGTCACTCAATGGATTATTTAAAAATACATAAATCCTTCAGTCACTTGTTTGAATTGATTCAAACAGCATAGATTCGAAGGGAACGATTTCATAACAATTACTTCTGCATGTACAGAAAGAATATCAAAAGCTATTTGAGCAGCAGGTAATATAAGCAAGACAGCTAACATCTTCCAGAGAATCATTCATGCTTTGCTTCTATTTGGAATAAAAATGTCTGCACCTTTATGCAAACATCCCCTAAAATTTGTATTAGTATACCTCCACCAAAAGCAACACTGTAGCAAAGGGAAAATATTTATTTTCTGTATTGTAAAAGTTGGTGCATTTAGATCATAATCTCTGTAATCATAAGTGGAGCTATTATTTTTGTTGTTGTTGATTTCATCCTGGCACTTAATTCTGACTGCAACTTCAGAATCAGAAAACACTTATTCAGCAGTACGTTCAAACAGTCTATTAGAGGTGGGAGACTGGTGACGATATACAGTGCACAGCATACTTAAAACTTCTGCTGAAGTTACTATATCTCAATCTGAATTCCTTGAAATCATGATTTTGTCACTTTCTATAGTACCCTTTTTATAGTTGAGAAAATAATACATCTCTTATGCTTAACTGTTAATAAATGATGCTTTTTACCTGACTTCTATTTTTTTAAAAGATTTTATTTATTTATTAATGAGAGACACAGATAGGGAGGCAGAGACACAGGCAGAGGGAGAAGCAAGCTCCCTGCAGGGGAGATGCAGAGCTCGATCCCAGGACCCTGGGATCACAACCTAAGCCAAAGGCAGACGCTCAACCACTAAGCCACCCAGGTGCTCCTATACCTGACTTCCATTTTTGTATGCTGCACAAAAAGCCTCAAAGGGAATTTTTCCTTGCTTAATAAATGTTTGCTTTTCAGAAAATTTATCAATTTACACCAAAATGCAGGTGTAAATTATGGAAGGCCATAAGTTTAGGATCTGTGAGAGCCTTTAGCTCCAAGATATCCCAGGATGTAATCAGTAATTTGGTGTATAGCATGAAGCTAAAAGATGCAGTCTCTCCCATCAGGAGCTCCTGGGCAACTTACGGCCAACATAAGTGGTCCAGAGACCCTAGGAGGCATGAGAAGAGGTTGTCAAAGTCTCTTTAGTGAAGAAGTTTCTGAGAGCATTCACAAGAGTGCCTGTTGATTTTAAAATGGACAGATTTTAGAGTTTTTTGGTTGGAGAGAACCCCACTTGCAGTGAGTTGATTTGTAAGAAGCAGCAGCAGTGAGAGTAAGCAAAAGTTATAGATGAGAACTATGTTACCTCTAGAATCACCCAAAAGACTAAAAGATACCAGATTTGTATGTCTGTAATGAGTGTGTCAGAAGAATCTCCTTGTAGGAGGATGTCATCAATGTCATGTCGTACCTGTGCTGCAATGTCAGCCATTTGGAGAAAGGGTGATGCAGTTAATATCTCATCTGCAAACATTGAGCACAATGGCAGAACCACTGAAGTATGCTGTGAGTGATCTGAAAAAGGGTGTTGTGTCCCTTGGGAACTGAAGGCAAAATGCAGCTGAGAGGCTATTAAATTAGGCACTGAATAGAACATGCTGGCCAAGCCTGCAAGAGCCAACTATTTACTAGCTCCTGATTGGATAGAATCAGTAATTTTAACAATATTGGATGGCATGAGGGCTGTTAGGGACCAAATATTTGCATCCCACAAAATGTGTATGTTGAATACCTAACCCCTTAGTGTGGCTATATTTGGAGAAAGAAGTAAGAAAGTTAAATTATCTCATGAGAGTGGGGTTCCAATCTAATAAGATTAATGACTTTATAAGAGAGACCAGATAGTGAGCTTTCTCTCCATGTGTCAACACTCAAGAAGGCAGCTGTCTGCAAGCCAAGAAGAGAGCCCTCACCAGAGACTGCACCCCATCAGACCTTGATCTTGGACTTTCAAGTGTCCAGAATTGTGAAATAATAAATTTCCATTGTTTCAGCCACCCAGCCTGTGCTACTTTGTCATGGCAGCTTAAGTACGCTGATAGAAAGGCCCTAACAGATGGGACCACAGGATTCAGGCTGTAGTGATTCATCAGGAGGCATCCCTTATATTTTCCATGTTTACGAACAGGAAAAATTGGGGTGTCATACAGAAAAATAGTGGGGATAATCAGTCCTTTATTAATTAGGTTTTATATAATAAGTTTTAATCCTCTAATGCCCTGTTTTAGTTCACATTAGGATATATTAACGATTTTAACTGGACTCCAGGGTTTCCTATTTTTATCAAACCAATTTGTAAGTCTCAAAGATCTACTTTAATTTTAAAGTATTATTTATTGGATCAGAGCATCTATGCCTAATATGGGATATTTTAGGAAGCAGGTGCTATAACTATGGAAAATTTAGTCAAGGCTACAGTGAAAGTGAAACATTTATTTTCCCTCTGTTATTGGGTTAATATCCTAAGATTATAGTAAATATGATGCTTAAATTTAGCAGTATCCCCAGGCATAAGAAATAATTTGAGACCCAGTGTTGATGAAATCCACAAAGTTTTGTCAATTAGTGCATTTTGTCAAATACTGAAGTAATTTAGACTCTACCCTCAGGGCAGCCCCGGTGGCTCAGGGATTTAGTGCTGCCTTCAGCCCAGGGCCTGATCCTGGAGACCTAGGATTAAGTCCCACATCAGGCTTCCTGCATGGAGCCTGCTTCTCCCTCTGCCTCTCTCTCTCTCTCTCTCTTTCTTTCTGTGTCTCTCATAAATAAATAAAATCTTTTTTAAAAAAAGAATCTACCTTCAAAAGAAAATCAGCACCTCAGAGCGTGGGGGTGGCCGGGGGCCTGGACCTGCCCCTCAGGAGCCCCGGATGTCCAGGTGACCCTTGGGCACAGCCACGAATCTCAGCTTCTTCATGACGGGGGGCCAGCCCAGCTTCTGTCGGTCCCACAGATACTCCGGGGACAGCACCTTGGTGGGCTTGTGGTCCAGCAGGTACCTGTTCAGGTGGCTCTCATCGTGCCACACGGCCTCGAGCCCGTTGGCCTGGTCCACCACCATTGCCTGGTGACGGGCCGTGGTCAGCTGGAGAACCTTGACCACCGACCCCCCCGAAAAAGCCCCCTGCGTAGTAAAAGTCACCCTCGTCTCTCAGAATGTAGGCCTGGGACTGCGGCTGGCGCTCGTCGGTGAAGGCCTCGCGGGCTGCCCCATAAAAACTGGGGTGCAGGGTGCCAAAGAGGGGGGACAGGATCTCCACGCCCACATGGTCACAGAACTTCATGTCCACGTCCACGCACACCAGGTAGTCCACCTCATGGATTCCTCGCTGCTGCGAGAAGTTGCTGATCATCTCCATGCGGTACATGGACACCTGCCAGCTCGGGGCGCTGGGGACCTTGAGGACCTCCACCCTGCGGCCCTCCCTGAGGGGCAGGTGGGGCACATCAGCCGGCTGGTCGGTGAAGACGTAATAAGTGACCCTGTGTCCCACCATGAAGTGCTTCTCTGCCGTCTGCAGAAACAGCTCCAGGAAGACCACGTATTTTCTGATAGCAAACACCTGAGTCCGATGGTGGCGTTCTGGAGCCAGAACTGCTCATTCAGGACATCAGTGTTGAAGGTCCCTTCCCAGACGACGGGCGCCAGCCACGGGGTCAGGACCAACACATCGCTCCTGCAGGGTGTTAGCACCTTGGGCTGTGCATAAATGGTCCTGGAAAAAATCATCACTTTTAGCTCTCTGAAGCCATGGTTTTTAGATTATGTGTCTGCTGAAAGCAAAAGAAGAGGAGGAGGGAGCACCCTGGTGCCTTTAGGAAGCAGGTTCTACCTGAGATAAGCCCAGTCTGCAATATAATGAGAGTCTTTCCTCACTTCTTACTTTTTTTTTTTTAAGATAGATTTATTTATTTATGATAGACATAGAGAGAGAGAGGCAGAGACACAGGCGGTGGGAGAAGCAGGCTCCATGCAGGGAGCCTGACCTGTGACTCCATCCCTGGACTCCAGGATCGCGCCCTGGGCCAAAGGCAGGCGCTAAACCACTGAGCCACCCAGGGATCCCCCCACCCCCCACTTCTTAAACAAAATCTTTTAGAATTATTTGTATCTCTAGGTGGATAAGTTTAGCTTTTCTTTCTTTCTTTTCTTTTCTCTTTCTTTCTTTTCTCTTTCTTTCTTTTTCTTTCTTTCTTTCTTCTTTTTCTTCTTTCTTCTTTTCTTTCTTTCTTTCTTTCTTTCTTTCTTTCTTTCTTTCTTTCTTTCTTTCTTTCTTTCTTTCTATCTGTTCCTGATAATTTTTTTCTTGCTTTTCCCCTTTTAAGTGCTTACCTGATAAACTCCTGGTCGGGGATCCCTGGGTGCCTGCCTTCGGCCCAGGGCGTGATCCTGGAGTCCCAGGAGGGAGTCCCACATTGGGCTCCCTGCATGAAGCCTGCTTCTCCCTCTGCCTGTGTCTCTGCTTCTCTCCCTCTCTGTGTGTCTCATGAATAAATAGATAAAATCTTAAAAAAAAAAAAAAAGGAATCCCTTGGTGGCGCAGTGGTTTGGCTCCTGCCTTTGGCCCAGGGCGCGATCCTGGAGACCCGGGCTCGAATCCCACGTCGGGCTCCCGGTGCATGGAGCCTGCTTCTCCCTCTGCCTATGTCTCTCTCTCTGTGTGTGTGTGTGTGTGTGTGTGTGACTATCATAAATAAATAAAAATTTAAAAAAAGATTTATTAAAAAAAAACAAAACAACAACAAAAAAAACAACTCCTGGTGGCCTCCAGTGATCCTCCTTTCAAGAGTGTCCCACTTGACCTCAAAGTATCTGGAGTTTACATCCAAGACTGCAATAGTAGCATCAGCTTGCTTTATTTATTTATTTATTTATTTATTTATTTATTTATTTATTTATTTATTAAAAGATTTTGTTCATTATTTATTCATGAAAGACACACACAGAGAGAGGCAGAGACACAGGCAGAGGGAGAAGCAGGCTCCATGCAGGGAGCCCGATGTGGGACTCGATCCCGGGTCTCCAGGATCAGGCCCTGGGCTGAAGGCAGCGCTAAACCGCTGAGCCACCCGGGCTGCCCATGGCATCAGCTTTAGCTTTCAAATGTTGTTTTGAGTATAAGACCCTTGTGTTCTGATAAACAGTAGTACTTAAGAGATCCCATACACACTGATTAAGTATTTGATAATTTATTAATTAGACCACATCCTTGGGATTTGGGGCAAAGTCAGAACCAGATATCCCTTTCGTGTAACTTTTTTTATTGAACATTTGAGCCTCTGTTCTCTAGAGATGGGCCCTCTTACAGCCTGCTTGGTCTGGAGTCAAACTGAGCACCAAGGAAGACACCAGCAGGGGTTTGTAGCAACATAACACCTGTGGGGATCTGTGGTCTCTGTAGGACAGGCATCCCCAAACCAACAATCAGAGGTTCTTTCAGGGTAAGAATGTCTAGCCACATGGTCTCCTACTACCTGATGAGGCAACCTACTGCAATTTTTGTATTCAAGGAAAAAAAGGGTGGATAATGGAGCAGCTCCTAGGCACATTGGCCTAGAGAGTCAATAGATGAAGCTTGCCTATCAGGTGAAGTTGGGAGGGTAACTGTTTCAGTCCCTTTAGAGGACCTTTGCTCAGTATTGTGGCCAGTTTCCCTAAGTACCCAGAGACCTCATCCAGACTAGGTGTCTCTGTCACAAACACATAGGCACCAACAGGGGACTGCTTTGCCCAGACTACAGCACCCTAAGCTAGGCAACTGATCTCTCTTGTTGAGCTCTAACACAACTGAACTGAACAACCAGGGAACCCAATGACAGTACAATGTGGTGGCCACTAAAGTGCAAGAGTACCAACACCCAGCAGTGTGTTCCCAGGCTGTATTTGCTGTCTAATGGATTGGTTAGTAAGCCAAAAGCATTCTAGAGACATGCCATCCTTGTCTGTCACTGAACCACACTGCTCACTACAGGATTTGTTTTAATCAGATATGACAGGATGACAGACATGAAGACAACTGCCTTTTAAGAAAAACTTTATTATTTACAATTTTAAAGAGGAAAGGAAACACCACACCATGCAGGGCCACACCAAGAAGCATGAAGGTTGGTGAGGAGACAGAAGTAAGAGAAAATCATGGATGATATCCTTATTTTCTATAGTGGTAGGAAGTTCTTAGTTGGGGATGTGCCCCATTGAGCAAGATGCAAAGCAGATTTAGGGTTTGTGGTTGGAGGGTTTCTAGTATGATTTCTGTGCACCTGTGAGAACATGGAGATGATATGAATATAAACAACTTTAGCCATTAGCTTGATGACAATTTTGAGATGCCAAACCATCTGATACAGACTATCAAGAATGATTATTACAGTAAAATATCAAACTAATAGAATAAGCTCATATTGTTATCTCAAGTAATTACATATTGAGATAAATCTCAATAGACATGAAAGCATTCAACAAAATCCAGCACCTTTTAATGATACAACATTCAACAAACTGGGAATAGAATGGAACTACCTCAACCTCTTCAGCATAAAGGCCATTAATGAAAAACCCAACCTAACATCATACTTAATAGTGGAGGGTTGAATACTTTCCCCTAATGAAAGTAAAATCTTGAATTTGGACAGGGTGGTTTGTTTGGCTAATATTCCAAAAAAGTAGAAAGCCAGAAGGAAGACTTTACAATTTAGCATCTTATTTGACTATTGTGTGACCATAGAACTTCAGCTGATCCAGTCAGGAACTGCCAGACTCATCCCATCCTTATCACCAAAACTGTTAAGGAAATATAGTTAAAAACAAAAAATCTTCTCCAGACCTAGAAAACTTATCCACTCAGACAGAAGACAAAGAAAACAACTTTATTATTGAATGATGTGACAATCCAAAGAAAGGAAGAAATCTCAACCCCTCTCCCCCCCTTTTTTTTGAAAGACAGAGAGAGCATGAGTGGGTGGGCAGGGGCAGAGGGAGAAGGACAGAGAGAATCTTAAGCAGATTCACACTCAGTGCAGAGCCCAGTGCAAGGCTTGGTCTCACAACCTTTAGATCATGACCTGAGCCAAAATCAAGAGTCAGACACTTAACCGCCTGAGCAACCCAGGCACCCCTCACCCCTTTTCATAGACAAGCAGATACAACCCATTACATACATGCTGTCAAGATAAACAATAACTAGTCCTCAAGTAAGAGGACTTGAGAGCATCATTTATCACACATTGTTTGCCCTAAATTTATTTGGTAAAAGAATGAAGAAAACCTATAGGACCTATGGAATACTATCAAGAAAATCCACATACACATTATAGGAGTCTCAGGAGGACAATAGAAGAAAGAAGCAGAAATACATTTGTGTGCCCAAGAGTGGGAAATAAAAACCCAGCAAAAATTCAAGGAAGGGGCAGCAGCATTTTGTTCTTACTGAAACAGACACTCTGGATACAGACTTGCCTTCCTTGCATACAATACTTCTGCCAAAACAACCATATGTGAACTTATAGAATGTTTTATTCACTATCATGGTATTTCACACTTATGTTGCTTCTGGTCAAGGAACTCCCTTAACAGCAGAAGTAGTGAGGCAATAGGCCCAGGCTCATAGAATTCACTAGTGTCGCTATCTTATTTACCATGATGAAGAAGTTGGTTGACTGAATGGCGGATTAGCTTTTTGAAAACTCAGTTACAGTGCCAACTAGGTGGCAATACCTTACAGAGCTGGGGCAAGGTCTCCAGAAGGCTGTATATGCTCTGAATCAGTGTCCCATAAATGGTGCTATTTCCCTCATTGCCCAGATACACAGGTCATTGAACCAAGGGGTGGAAACGGGATTGGCACCATTCACTATTACCCCTGCTGACCAGTAGCAAAATTTATGCTTGCTGTCTCCATGATCGCACTTCTGTTCTGCTGGCATAGAAATATTGGTTCCAAATGGAGGAATAATTCCACCAGGAGACACAACAATGATTCAACTGAAATGGAAGTTAAGACTGTCAACTTGGCCAATTTGGGCTCCCCATGACTTCAAATCAACAGGCAAATAAAGAAGATACTGTGTTGAGGTGATTGATCTTACTAAAGAAACTGGACTTCTACTACACATTGGAGGTGAGGAAAAGTATGTCTAGAATACAGGAGATCTCCTGGGGCATCTCTTAGTACTAGCATGTCCTGTGATTAAAATCAATGGAAAACCACAACAACCTAATTCAGGACAGACTACTAATAGCCCAGAACCTTCAGGAAGGAAGGCTTGGATCACCCCAACAGGTAAAGAACCATAACTAGCTGAGGTGCTTGCTGAGGGTAAAAGGAATAAGAAAGGGTAGTAGAAGAAGGTCATTATAAATACCCACTGTGACTGCATGACCAGTTACAGAAATAAGGACTGCAAGTGTCAGAGGAGTAGTTCTTCCTTATTTTGTTAATAGGTGTACGGATATATCTTTAATTATATATACTAAATATTTACTTAACATATTATACTTAGTATAACACACACATACTTAATTTATATTTGGCATATATATATATATATATATATATATATATATATTAAGCAAATGCCTTTACTTCCTTTTCTTATCCCTATATCTATAACATATAGTGTACTGATTTTATTTTATTTATTCATGAGAGAAACAGAGAGAAAGAGAGAGAGAGGCAGAGACATAGGCAGAGAGAGAAGCAGGCTTCATGCAGGGAGCCTGATGCGGGACTA